TCAATCTCTCACTCCTGAGAGAAATGTTAAGTGAAACTTGGTCTGAGACACAGCACAGAGCAAACTGTTCACCAACACCTGGGTGGGTGAGGGTGGGTAATAAGCCCCCTCACTGCTAGTGGTAAAGTAAAATGATACCACTTCCAAGAAGGGCAACTTTGCAATATCTATCAAAATCATAATCACACAACCACCTGACTCAGAAATTCCTCTTCTAGGAATTTAACCAATAAATGTCCTTGTGTATAGAGATACATACACAGGGGCACCTGTTGCCAGACTGCTGGGCATGGGACAGACCAGGAACAGCCTGCAGGTCAGCAGTCAGGGTCATGCACATGAAGGCCAGTGCACCTGCACCCCATGGCAGGGCAGCCTGAGCCAAGAGACAGAATGGCAGAGCAAGGACCCTGAGATCCTCTGTACCTCCAAAGGATAATGGACAGCTATAATACCAACTTTTTCAAAACTCTGGAAATAAAAGGGTTGTAACAATCCAGGAAGTGTTTGTTCAAAAAAATGGCTGAAGGCTTGGAGAACATACAACATCAGGCTCACACCTGTAATCTCAGCACTTGGGAGGCTGTGGTGGGTGGACTGCCTGAGCTCATAAGTTCAACACCAGTCTGAGCCAGAGAGAGACCCTGTCTCTAAAAAATAGTCGGGCGTTGTGGTGGGGAGCTGTACTCCCAGATACTTGGGAGGCTGAGGCAAGAGAATCACTTAAGCCCCAGAGTTTGAGGTTGCTGCGACCTATGATGCCATGACACTCTACCAAGGGCTACAAAGTGAGACTGTATCTCAAAAAACAAAAAAAACAAAAAAAAAGAGAGAGAGAGAGAGAGAGAGAAAAGAAAAATGGCTGAACAGTGAGCTTGGTGGTGTTTTAACTTGCACTGGCCCCATTTGCCTCAGCCTAGCTCTGCAGTGGCCTTTAAAACTAGCTGCCATATATTTTTCTGGGGATCTGGTTTAAAATTAAAAAAAAAAAAACAAAAAAAAACCTGGCAGCCTAAGAGTTGAAGGCTACAGTGAGCCATGATGCTGCTACTGTACTCTAGCCACATGTCCACACAAGCTGGGACTGGCAGTCCAGCAGCCATTCAACAGGGAGGACTGGGGCTGGGACTCCCTCAAAAGCACCATCTTAGAAAACTGTCACTGGCTTGTCTGGCTGCAGGTCTTGTCTTTATTTGGCTTGACTCAGCCAGCTCAGTGGAGGTTTGTCAAAAACATCACAGCTGCTGAAGGAGACAAGGGGTTGGCTAAAGATCTCAAATGGAAGAGCTGAGGAATGAGGAGTCCACAGTATTCTCTGACACAGCCCTGGAGACAGGGAGGTCAGCATTTCATGTGCAGGACTGCTGCGCGCGCTTATGGGGCACCAAGCAGGAAGTGAAGGCAAGCCCAGCGCACACAGCTTTGCTTGTTGGCAAAAATGTGAATTATTATTTCAAAGCACTTAAGGAAATCTCTGTCCAGTCCTTACCTGAGCAAGAAGTTGACCAAGCAGATAGTTCAGCAGCTGCACACAACAGTACAAACTTTACAGAATTAAAATTTGTGAAGTCAGGACAGATACTAAACAAGTAAGAATGACAACTACAAACCCTGTGGAGGGTGTGTGATTTCCAGAGTTGCACATCTTGTTATTTAAAATGTACAGTTGTTTTTTTTTTTTTTTTGTAGAGACACAGTCTCACTTTATCACCCTCAGTAGAGTGCTGTGGCGTCACACAGCTCTCAGCAACCTCCAACTCCTGGGCTTAGGAGATTCTCTTGCCTCAGCCTCCCAAGTAGCTGGGACTACAAGCCCCTGCCACAATGCCTGGGTATTTTTTGGTTGCAGTTTGGCCGGGACTGGGTTTGTACTCACCACCCTCAGTATATGGGGCTGGCACCCAAACCACTGAGCCATAGGTGCTGCCCTAAAATGTATAGTTTTTAACAAGAAAAAAGGTACACACGGAAATGATGTGTTTCCTTGGCCTATACACAGGAGCAAAAGCATTCAATAGAAATTGTCCCTGATTAAGTCCTGGTGTTGAACTTACTAAACAAATAGTTTAAATCACCTACTATAAATATATTCAAAGAACTAAAAGAAATCACATCTGTAGACTTGAAGTATGAGAATGATTTTTCACTGTTTAGAGAATATCAGTGAAAATATAGCAATTATAGAAGAGAAACAAATTCTGCAGTAGGAAAGTGCAATAACTAAAATGAAAAATGTACCAGAGCATCTTGAGGCTAGATTTTATTTGGCAAAGGAAAGAATCTTTGACATTGAAGATAGGTCAGTTGAGATTATGCAGTCTGAAGAACAGAAAAAAGAATTTTTTAAAAAGTGAACAAAGACTCAGAGACCCACAGACATCACCAACCATATAGACATACACATAATAGGAGTCCAAGGAGAGAAAGTAGAAAGAATATTTGGAGAAATAATGACCAAAACCCTTCCAAATTTGATGAAAAACATTAATCTTTACATGCAATAAGCTCAATGAATTGTAAATAGGAAACACGAGAAGAGACCCCAAACCAGATACATCATAGTCAAACTACCAAAAGCCAAAGAGTCTTGGGACCAGCAAGAAAAAAATCAACTCACTGTGCATAAGACATCTCCCATAAGCTCAGCCGCTGGCCTCTAACCAAACTACAGAGGAGACATTTTCAAAAGGATGAAAGAAAAAGACTATCAACCAATATACATATTATCTAGTAAAATTATTCTTCAAAAGTGAAGGAGAAATTGCTAGCAGACCTGCCCTATAAAAAACACTAAAGGGAGTCCTTCAGGTTAAAGCAAAAGATACTGTACTCAATGACATGAAGGCCAAGTTAACAGTTTGATGAAAATATTTCAAATTGTATATGAAAACATCACACTGTACCCCATGATTACACTAATGTACACAGCTATCACTTAATTAAAAAAAAAAAGATACTGGACTCAAATCTACACACAAAAATAAAGAACGCTAGACAAGGCAACATAGAGCCAACTACTGAGAGAGTACAGACGAATTTCCATTCCTAAGTCTTTTCTTCTTCTATCTGATTTAACAGACAACTGCATGAAGCAATATTTACACAAGTATGCTGATGGGCATGCAATCTACAAAGATGTAAGGTATACTGCAAAAGCAGCACACAGAAGCTGGAAGAAACAGAGCCAAAAGGGAGCAAAGTTTTTATGCATTATTAAAATTAAGTTGGTGTTAAACCAAACTAGATTGTTTTAAGTTATTAACTGTACTACTCAGAGCAACCACCATTGTTTTAAAGAAAATAACAGTAAAAGAGACAAAGAAATTAAAATGTTACAAAGGAATTAAAAATTCATTTAACATATAAGAAAAAGTGCATTAAATGGAGGAATACAGGAAGAAAGATAAAAGATGTATAGAAAACAAATAAAAGAAAACTACAGGTGTAAATCTTCATGCTATGGAGTAGGCAATGGTTTCTTAGATGTGTTATTAAAAGCACAAGCAACAGAAAAAAATAAAACAGATAAATGGGACTTTATCCAAATTAACTTTTGTGTTTCAAAAGACATTATCAAGAAAGTGAAAAGACGGTATGATGCAATCCTAGCACTTTGGGAGGCCAAGGCCAGTGGATTGCTTGAGCTCACAAGTTTGAGACCAGCCTGAGCAAAAGCAAGACCCCCATCTCTACCAAAAACAGAAAAACTAAAGCAATAGGATCACTTGAGCCCAGGAGTCTAAGGTTGCTGTGAGCTATGATGCTACAGCACTCTACCCAAGGTGACTGGTTGAAACTCTGTTTCAAAAAAAAAAAAAAGACAGTATGAGAAAATATTTGCAAATCATGTAAGGGTCTAGTACTCATAATAAACAGTATATAACAACCCTTACAACTTAAGACAAATGATCCAATTAAAAATGGAAAAAGATTTTCTCCAAAGAAAATACACGAAAAGATGCCCAATATAGTCATCAGAAAAATGCAAATCAAAACTACTACGAGATATCACTTCATACCTACTAAGATGACTAAAATAAAAAGACAGATAATAACAGGTGTTGTCAGGAATGTGGAGAAACTGGAAAGCTCACAAATTTCTGGTAGAAATGCAAAATGGTCCAGCCACTTAGGAAAATGGCTTAACAGCCCATCAAAAAGTTAAACAACTGAGTTGCTATATGAAGTTCCACTCCAGGTATACATGTACACCCAAAAGAAAACATACATGCTCGAACTCATACATGAATGTTCGAAATAGCCAAAGAGCAGGACCAGCCCAAATGCCAACAACGAACAGATAAACAAAATGTGTTACCTCTACAGACCAATGATGTTACTGGCCAACGAAAAAGAACCAAGTATTGACCTGTGTCAATGTGTACAAGCCTTGAGTGCCTGATGCTAAGTGAAAGAAAATAGAGACAAAAGATCCTATGTTGTGTAATTTCATTCACATAAAATATCCAGAAAAGACAAATCCAAAAACAGAGTAGATAGGCTGCTGCTAGGGGCTGGGAGAGGGGCATGAGAGTTTCTGGGCAGGTGAGGAGTCAGGAGGTGGTGCCTGGCCAGGCTGTGAAGACCTGTGTGGCACTGTCTGTGGAGGGTGCTCTTCCTGTGCGTGAGCTGTTTCAACACCACTGTCGTTAAACCCACAGAGCAGGCAGTTCTCTGTATTCCATGCGGAACTATCACCAAGATGATCTGTGAAGTTGGAAACGTAAGGGTGCTCAGCTGCCACTTTTCGTGTCTGTGTTGGAAGCAGCATCTGCATCCACGTGTGGGTCCCCCGAGCCCCGCTGCACACTCCTCTCCCGGGGAGGCAGCTGGATACACACCCTCAACACTGGCAGTGTGCGCGTACCACCAGTTAAGAACCACATGTTAGAAATGCACAAGGACTCACAAGATGCCCTTAGGAACACAAAGGGCCTCTTTTGCAAGGCCAGACTCATAACCAGAAACCAGGAGGCAGGGCCCCCACAGCAGTGGAGAGGTCACACTTCCGGGGCACTTTAATTTGCCATTTCCTCAAAGTAAGTGCACAGTCACTGCCCAGACCTGTGCTCACTCTTCAGTCCTAGTGAGCAGGCAGAAGGAAAAGAGGAGCTGCAGACCAGCAGGAACTGCAACACCCCTGGCCCAGGTTCTATGTCAGCGCATAGTTAAACTGGTTTGCAAACTTCTCATGCTTCTTCTGGTCCATCTTGTTCATGGCTGTGACCACCCTCCGCACAGCTGCCCTGTGAGGAAAGCAAAGCAAGATGCTCTTGGCGGGGCACAGTGGCTCACACCTATAGTCCCAGCAACTGGGAGGCTGAGGTGGGTGGATACCTTGAGCTCAGGAGTTTAAGACCACCTTTAGCGAGAGCAAGACCCCATCTTTACTAAAAACAGAAAAATTACGGGGGATGTTATGGCAGGTGCCTACAGTCCTAGTTACTTGGGAGGCTCAGGCAGGATAATTGCCTGAACCCAGGAGTTTGAGGTTGCTGTGAACCATGATGCCAAGGCACTCTAGCCAGGGTGACAAAGTGAGACTCTGTCTCAAAAACCAAAAAGATACTCTCAAGCTCCAGCCAGTCTCTGGGCTGACTGTGGCCATACTGGGATTGAGTCCTGGTCCTAGGGCAGTGTGGCACCCAGACCAGCTGCAGACTTCCCGTGAGAGCCTCTTTCAGAGAATCAGGAGGCCAGGCTCAAAAAGCCCCAAAAGTCACTAGTCCTAGAGCTGGGCTTTTGTAGGTGGGGTCCTGTCCCACTTGAAGGTGGCCTGACCCCTACCCTGACATTTCCTCCAGCCCTGAAGGTGGTTTCTGGGAACCCCAATCTTGGAGACTGATGTGTATCCTAGGATGTGGCAGAGACTAGCACATACCCCAGAATGTGGCAGGGCCTGCCCACAGGCCATGTGGAGGAACCATGCAAGCAAATAACCGAGGAAGCACCTTACTCAGCCCTGTGAGCTGAGACCTCTGTCCAAGGGAGGGGGCTGGGTGGTCACTCTTACTTGGCGAAGACCTTTTTCCCGATGCGTGCCCGGGCAGTGTTGGCCTGTGCCCTCAGGTCGGTGAGATTGGGGTACTTCCTCTTCTTTCTCTTGCCTTTCCCACGGCACCTGGATGAGCCCAGATCTACCCCAGTGGCTGCTTCCACGTCTTTCATGAACTCAGGGTCCTGCCAGCCTGTGACAGAACTTTCAGACTTCAGGAGGCATCTGGCAGCAGCAGAACACCTCCCACCGAGACCCCAGGCACCAGCAGCGTGAGCAGTAGAGTGGGGAGGGAGGTAACACAGGCCACCCTGAGGGCAGGTGAGGCCAGGTGTACCCACTAACTGCCCCTCATAGTCCCTGACAACCCCCCACAAGGCAGGGAGGAGGTAGGGCTAGGCCCAAAGTCACTCCATAGGCCCCACAGGCAAGAAGGTGACCAAGGGCAGTGGTTGGGGAGTTGGTGCAATGCATAGGCACCTTCCACAGGGGGCTGGCCAGAAGTGAGGGGGAAGGAGGGCCAAGTACCATTGCCAGGAAAGGGCGTTCTCTTTACTGATCTAAGGGATCTGGTCTTAGAACTCAGAAATGTAGGGAGGGGTCCACCTAGACAAAGCGGCTCTTTCTAGAGGAGCCAGATGTCAGCTGCCACCTGGCCTAATCAGCCCCAGGCCATGCCACAGTAAGGCTAGCACCTTGCTCATGGAGCCGAGAGCGCCCACTGTGCACAGGCCCAGGGTAGCCACCCCATCTCAGTCCCCACTGATCCCTCAAAGTGCCACAGGGTCTGTCATCCCCACCCAGACGGGGATGTAAGGCCCAGAGGGGGCTGAACACCACAGTGCAGGGCCCCCATGTGTGCTGCGCTGTGGAGTCACATCCACAGAGGGAGGCAGCCTCGCGCCCCAGATGGACAGATGCCGAGGCCTCTCCAGGCTGATTTTTTGAAGTGAAGGAATACGGGCCACACGACTCAGATACAGAAACGATTAATCCAAGATTAAGGAAAACTGTCTAAACGGTTTATCTCCCAGTAATAAGAAGGCGTCACAGTTTAGGAACCCAGTGAATGGAGCAATTGTTTAAACACAACGAAAAAATGCCGGCATCCAGTAGAGATGGAATGAGCGCCTCAGGAAAATGAAGGGGCAATTTAAAAGCCTTTGAAGAAAATCAATAGACTTCGGGCCTCACGGCCTTCCTGGGCCCTGACGGGGCCTGCAGCGCTGCACGCATTGTCACCGAGGTTAGCACCAGGGAAAAGAAAATTGCCCCGAGAGGGAGGGAGGCGGGATCAATACTGTAGTTAGTAAAGAGATGCTATTTCACATCTGACTGGCCAGCAAGGCCTGTAGCCACAGCCTGATACCTGTTTGTTAACAAGTCACCCAGGGCTGGAAAACCAGATACTCTTCAGAGTTGACACAAAAAATAGGCACTTCATTTGCTCCTGAGCGTGGGCCACCAGGAAAGGCCTCGCTCGGAGATTAGCAGGTCAGGCCCCCACCCACAACACTCAGGGCCCAGCACCAGGCTGAGACCCAACATCGTCTCTCATGACCAGAGAGCAAAAAGCCCGTGAAAGGCCAGGCACTGGGGTGGGAGCCAGGAGCACAGAAGCACTGCCCCATGGCCTCTCTCCCAAAGGGAGTGCACCTGAGCCTCGCCATCAGACATGAACCCAGCCCAAGGAGGGGCGGCCAGGTGGGCTCCAGGGCTTATGGGGAACCAGGCAGCCAGCATGGAACAGGCAGGCCATAGCAGATGTCCGGAGCACAATAGCCACACATGTCCCAGGATGGGCAAAACCATCGCCAGGTGTGAGACACTGCTGGGAGTAGACCCAGCAGGAAAGGCAGTAACTGAGGCTGCTATCTGTCTGTCTCTGCCTTGATTCCTTCCTTAGAAAGCACAACTAAGAACCTAAGACTCAGCAACACAATGATGCCCTGGTGACTTCTAGGCATGGGGAGCCCGTGTCCCTGCTGGGCACTTCTGACAATGGCCTTAGGCACCTATGGAGCCCCCCTGCTTGAGACCCCCAGGGTAGTAACTTCTCTCCCAACTTGCCTCTGCAAGTGTGGGGCTCCCCAGACGAAGCTGGTGGCATGGGTGGCCCCTGACCGTATAGAAACAGCATGGTGACAGCCGGTCCCACGGCTGTGCCCCCCACGGCACCCACCCAGACCTACCTGGGCGCCCCTGCACCTGTTGCCTCTGCTCCCGTGCCCTATCTTCTGGGTCAAGAGGCTGTCCTTCCTCATCTCTCGGGATAATTTTCCCATGGAAAGGGCACTGCAGAGAGACAGGGTGCTGACACGGGAGGGTGCTGACATGGGAGGGCGCTGCTACCCCGTCATGGCTGCCCACAACTCGTTGGGCACAAACAGGGAGGGTGGCATCACAAAGCCAAGGTGCACTACCCTTCATCACATACTCAAGACCAGGGATTCTCAGGAGCCACAGGAAAAGGGAGGCAGCTCCATCCTTCCTCTGGACTCAAGCACAAACAGCAGCAGGGGGTCTGGGCCTCGCCCAGGAGAGAGGCCTTCTCTCCATACCATTCCTAGCTGCTGACCAGCCCCCCAGCCTCTTCCCACAGCCTCCCACTCCTGGACTCCAGGGCAGGGGTGCAGGTACCACCTCACTTGTGAGTCTACACCCAGCACAGAGTGGATCTGAGGCACCCTAGAAGGATGCTGAGCACTCTGGCCCCTGTAGAATTTCCCAAGTCATGGGGCCAGGACCAGAGACCCCAGACAATTTTCTGACACTTGGGGCCAACATCTGCCAACCACAGACAAGCCTTTCCTTGAAAGCTTCTCCAGGTTGACAAGTGTTCCCAACCCAGGACCAGGTGGGGTCTCAGCACTTCCCTTGGACTGCCCTGTCCTGGCCCCACCTGACCCTAGGCCTGTGGCCCTAAGCGCCCATAGGTGCAGTAGAGGCCATACCTTTAAACGATCTTGGCGCTCACAGAGCCGGCCGTCAGGCCTTGGGGCACGGCACCGGTGCTGCACAGGCTCGAACCTCCCAGCGAAGGTGATGTGGCGGCTACAGAGCATCTCGGAGATGGCAGCACTCTCCACCTCCTCCACTGCCTCACTGGGCTTCCAGAAGCGGTGCTGAGAGTCGGGTCTGCACGGAGAACCAAACCCCTAAGGCTGCACAGGGCCCAACAGGAGTGTGGCCACTGGGGAGGGGAGCCAGACACTCTGCATCCCAGCCACTCCCTGACCCTGGAGAGAGCGATGACCCTGTGAGCTGACCCCTTGCACCTCCGTGAGCCAAAGACCACAGTACTCCAGCCTGGACTGCTGCCTGGGGCCATGTGAACCAGCCACAAGACTAGCGTTTGACCCCTACCCAGGCTCAAATTCTCCCAGTAGAGTGGGGAAACTGGACACTGCCCCCTCAGAGTGTAACCTTGAAGGTAACAGGACAGTCCACATAAAGGTCACCATTACTACTGCAGTGGTGCAAACACAGGTGGTGTCTACACCCTAAGGAAGGAGCACATTAAGAATGCCACCCAGCCATACACAGTACTGAGGGGTAGAAACAATAGATCTGCTCCCATCTCCCAAGTTTCCTGTAGTATGTTATGACTGTCACCAGCCGTTATTAATGACCCTTTCTGCTGGCCAGAGAAGGGCTAGGGCCAGGGCCAGGAGCACCAGTGCCAGAAGACAAGGACCCTGCTCCCTCACTCTCCAGTTGGGGAGAGCAGTCCCTGGTGTCCCTGGCCAGGCTCTTGTGAGCTCTGCAGCTCACATGATCTTGGGGGACATTGGGGCCCCAAGGCTGACAACTCCCCTGCTCCAGAGGTCTAAGAGGAGCAGGACCCTGCCACCCATGCCTTGACCACTGGCCTACAGATAGGCACATGGGCACCAAGGTCTGGTCCACCTCAGAGAGAAAAGTGCAGAGAAGGCCATGCCTTGAGTCCACTCCCAACGTCTGTTCTGCCCCTACCTCAGTGTGGGCCAGGGCCTCATGCTCACGGGGCCTCATCCCCACCAGAGCCACCACGGGGAGAGTTGGTGTGGGCAGAGCCTCAGCAGGGCGCTGAGGAGCACCCAGTCACATACCCTACAGCCCCACACTACTGGCCTCCCACATGAGGAATAGGGGAAAGCAGGGGGGAAGGGAGGGCAGCCCACACGACAACCTCAGAGGTTGCCCTCCTTGGCACCCTCTCTTTCCCTCTGGCCAGGTAAAGGCCAGCTCAAGCCTACCAGGCTGCCAAACACCTGCCTCAGGGGTGCTTTTCCAAAGAGGCTGTGGTGGACAGAGCTGGTCTCCGAGCCAGGGGCCCCACCCAGATCACAAGGCCTGGGATTGGGTGGAGCCCCTCTCAGCCTCATCGTCCCAACCCAGAAGGGAAAAGCTATGCTCCCTAAGGCCCCCAAATGCTGGCTGTGAGTTGGCAGCATGATCCCATCTACTTGGTGAGGGCCCAGGCAGGGGTAGCCTTGCCCTGGGAATCCAAACATAGGCACATGCAGGTTAGGCTGAGGGACTGAGACCCAGGGAGCAGGGGTGGCGAGGGCTCAAAACGAGCAGGGGCAGGAACATGCTCTCCTAGTAGGACCTTCTATCCCAGGACAGATATCTGGTACTGTCTTCTTGGACCTCCCTAGCTGTATGAGCAATGTCCCAGCTTTGCTCCCAGCACAGCACAAGGAAAGTGGCCCCTCAGGGTCCAAGGATCTGTGTTTAAGAGAGGACAGGCCCTGTCCAAACCCCACCCCCTACTGCTCCACATAAGAGCAGAAGCCACTGAGGGGGCGGAGGGGGGCTTCTCAGAGGGTCCTGCAGGGCCCAGGCCTGGCCCTCTAAGGACACTGAGGGGGTGGTCCCTCGGGCAGGCAGCATGCTGGGAACAGCCCAGGTTCTGAATGGGCTCAGGGAAGACTGCAGGGCCTGTGTTCTGGCCACTCCTTCCCATCTTGTTTAACCCTGATCCTCAGAGACAGCAGCAGCAACAGGACAGTTGAGAGAGATGAGACCCACTGGCTGAGGTGGCTGTTCACACAGCCTGAGCCATTCCACAGCTGAGGCCACCCACCCCCTGCACCCTGCTCAGCATGGAGAGATGGGCAGAGCTGCCCCGGACCCAGGGAGGCCCCATGAGCCTGCCGCTCCCTCCTCAGGCCAGGCCACACACTCTTGCAAGCCAGACATGCAGGCCTCACCTGACAATCTTCCCAGCCACCGGCAGCTCCTGGCCCCAGTAGCACAAGTCCACCCCGTAGGGCACAATGGGAGCCCGGGCCCGCTCTGCTGCCAATTTGTGGGTGTCCTCCAGCCCCAGCAGTGCCCTGTAGGGACCATAACAGAACAGGACATGCTGACCACACATACACACACAGACACAGACACACAGACACACACACACACACAGAGCCAGTTATAGCCACCTGCCTTCCTCCTGCAGGGCAGCCAGAGCCCTCGGTGAGCAACAACCTCCACCAAGGTTGGGCCTGCACATGAAGGCCACTGCCAAGGTCCTGTAAAAAGCCCAGCCCCACCGACAGCTGGTCTGTGGTCCTTCACTCTGCCCCTGGAGGTCCTGACATCTGCTTTCAAACCCCAGGGCAGCTGTCCCCACTGGGGCTCTGGCCAACATGCCTCCCATTCCCCAACTGTGTTGGGGATATCAGTAGCCATGCCCAACCAGGGGTACAGGTTTCTTTCCAAGGAGCCAAGAATGCCCCAGCAGTCCATGGAGCCAGCCAGGGCTTCAGGAAGAGGCCTCAGGGATAGCATACTGGGGTCACCTGTCAGATGAAGGTGGTGGTGGGGGCAAGAGGTCCCGGAACCGTAGCTGGGCAGCTGCAGAGGTGGGGTCTGATGCCTCCTCATCTCTTCTCATTCTCATCCTTGTTTGCAGGCCCTGTGCAGCCAGGTCCTTCTCCAGGGTCTGTAGTGGGGCCTCTGGCTCCAGCCCTGAGATAAATATGTATCTACTTCAACCACATCCCCCCACCCCAGGACATACATGCGGGGCACCACGTGCCATCCCACATGACTTATCAGGCAGGACAGGCCCATCACTAGTGAATGGGTCCTGTTACTGCCACCTCACGGACGAGGAGGGGGCCTGCTACACTCAGCGGGACATGACAAAGGTGGTCAGTGTTGTGTGTTCCTGGAGCTTCTGATCCGATGACGCAGGGGAAAGAACTGCAGACGGAATGAATCTTCAAGGGAGACCGGGACTCGCTCTGGTCGGGACTCGCTCTGGTCGGAGGCCCCGCTAAACTTTACTGATTATCTTATATACTTTCCAACATTTAGTAAGAATTTAACACCTATACAAAGAGGTGAAGTAACATTAAGAAGCAACCATTTAAGATTACAATTTAGTGTGAAGGCTGAGGAACGCATATACAATTGATTTTGTTTAGAGTAAAACATTTTGGAGCCTGGCTGTCGGTCCTCGCTTGCCCAAGGTAAAGTTACACATTATAATGCTAATGAGGGAGGGAGACAGAGAATAGAACCCAATGGTCCAAGACCGGTCTGTCCACCCCCAGCTAACACCTCGGCTGTTTCTCCACACCCCCTAGGGAGAGTCACTCTACATGTTCCTGCACATCAAAAGGCAGGTGTAGAAGCTCAGATCCTCAAGGAAATGCTTCTCAGAAATAGTCTCCTGAGGGAGCACGTTGAGGGGAACTGCCATATCTTGAGCAAAGGCATCCTATCTCTTACAGGTCAGGGACTATGGGGGCCCTGGTGTGGAGGACTGCTGACTCACTGCACTGCCCAGACCCACGAGAGACCAGCTGGCTCAGGCAGTTCTGGCAGGCTAACTCAGAAGAGCTTGCCCTCACACAGAGGAACCACAGAGGACTGGGTAGCCTGAGGCCCTTCCCCAAACTCCCAGACCTAGGGCAGAGAGGACCGGGCCTCATGTGTCCACAACCTGGCACACACATTCCAGAAAGGACAGCCATGCAAAAAGGTCCCCAAGGACATGCAGAGGGGAAGAGGAAGAGCCAGAACTCCAGACAGTGCACTTCCCACCCAGGGTATACTCACCTTCTCACCAAGCTTTGGCAACTTATCTGAAAGCCATGAGAGATGAGGCAACCAGCACCATGGCCCTGTGGCAATGCTAACACTGCCAGTGTGTTCAACCTGCCTTCAGCTCTATGGGTCAGGGTGCTGCATTTCACCACCTCCTACATGGGATAGCAGGGATGAGCCACCAGGCCCCTGGCCACTGCAACCAAGTGTCCATCTCCTTGGCCCTGACACAGGACAAGGATAAGAGTCTGGCCCTCAGGCTGCCCCTGTGGTGCTCTCAGCCCAGCAGGAGCCTGCCTTCGCCAATTGGGTCCAAGGTGGGGTCCTGGGGCAGGGTGTGGGCCAGGACACCAGGTGCCACCTGCCACCCAAACTCACTGCCAGCTTGAGTCAAGACTGGATGGGAGCCTTTCCTCCCAGTGTGCCTGCTGACAGGCGGCTCAGGATTTTGGAGGGACACGGATTGGCAGGGAGCCAGATTCTGAGAACACCTGGCCTCAAAAGAGGGAAACAGAGTGATATGTCCGAACATTCAGAATCCACAGATGAGACGGATAGGACAGGAAACATACAGTCTGCATCCTTAACACCAAAGCGCACAGTGGAGACAGCAAGAAGTCAAATGAGGGGGTGCTGACTGGGCAGCATTTCCACTGACTGGGCAGTGGAATAGCAATATGACATGATGCTGATGGCTGAGGCAGCAGCCCCCCAATGAGCTGCAGGGAACTCAAAGCAGAGGAGCAGAGAAACCTTCACAGGTGTGTGGGGCAGAAGACAACCAGCTAAGTCCTTATTGTTGCAATTCAAGAAGAGAAAAGATAATAGGAATGTGGGAAAGAGTTGAGAAAATGAGTGAATTTTCCTGGTATTTGAGATCTCCCTGAACCCAAGGAGAGAGAGGAGGACACAGGATGATGTAGTGATACTTAAAAATTTAATGATAAAGAGTTGAGAAAATGAGTGGAACTTTCCTGGAATTAGCGGCCTCTCTGATACTCTCCCCGATATCAGAGGAGAAAGAGAAGGATATGGGATAATATAGCAATACTTAAAAATTTAAAGAGAAAGAGAAAGGACTTGATACTTTCAAAGAAATAAAAATCCTTTTGGTCACAAAGGACAGAAACTTAAATACAAAACAAGAAAAGAAAATGACTACCAACACCAGTACTTTAAACTGCAACACTGAATGCAAGACCGTGGAAGATCGTTTTAGAAGTACTGGAGGAAAAGACACTCAAGCTCAGGATTTTATACCCAAACAGCCCATTATCCCCAAGTGCCAGGTGCAGACAGGGCCCTGTGTGCACAGGAAGGTCTGCTCTGAGAATACCCCTAGAGCAAGAAATCCAGCACAAAAGGTAGCTAGCTCAGGAGGGCGGGCAAGATGTGGGCATCACCACTGAACAAACGGCCTTCTGCATTTCCTGACGCCCATGGCCTGTGTGCACACCATGGCCCCAAGTAAGTGGGTCTAGATACACCAAAGTGACTAAAGGGGTGGCCACAGAGGGGAGAAGCTGCGAGGTTCCTTATCATGAGTAAGCAGCAGTACAGAAATGGATATACTATACTAATAAAGAGTAAATGAGTTATCTAAAAAATAGGGGCAATTCTCAGAAAAGGTGAGTATCTTTAAAACCAGCAGAATAAAAGGTAGGGTGGCAAAGGGTGAGAAGAAAACGACAGCAGCAAATCAAGGGATAGCAAATCGGGATGTGCAATAAACTGGCCAAACACATCTGGAAAGACAACTGCCAATTAAATGAATTAGCACTGATGACAGACTGATTAGCTTAAATATATTTAGCAATATGTTGTCTATATGAGACTCCATTAAAACAAATGGGTAGGCCGGGTCTGGTGGCTCATGCCTATAATCCTAGTACTCCAGGAGGCCAAGGCAGGTGGACTGCCTGAGCTAACAGGTTGCAGACCAGCCTGACCAAGAACAAGACCCCACTGCTAAACATAACCAGGCATTGTGGTAGACACCTATAGTCCCAGCTACTCGGGAGGCAAAAGAATCACCTAAGCACAAGAGTTTGAGCTGTGACGCCATGGCACTCTACCAAGGGTGACAAAGGGAGACTCTGTCTTAAAACAACAACAAAAAAATGGCTAAAGGAAGTTGAAAATAAAGGAATGAAAAAATATTCACTATGAAAACAAGAAACAAAAGACAGCTGAGATAACATGTTTGTATTAGAAATACTAGATTTAAGTCAAAAAAGGAAGATAGAAGGAATGTGTGAAGGTATAATAAACATGAACCAACGTGCGCATAGAACCTACAAATGTTACTCCAAAACACACAATCAATGCTGGGAGGACATGGAAAGAACTTGGCACCACAGCTGTGCTGGTGGCACAGGGGAACCCTCCCAGAAAGCAGCCATGAGACAAGGAAGGGGCCCAACAACGATGGCGTGTACATCAAGACCAGACCAAGACATGCGGTGGCTTCACACCCACGAAGTCACACACACAGAACTTAAGAGAGACAACCAAATTCTATGTCAACATCATGAAAAGACCTCAGTCCGTGCTGCAGAATCGTCCCCCAGCTGTGTCCTCAGGACACAGGGCAACCAGAGAGAATGCTAACATCTGGAAAGTCACAAGCACACATACATACGTGTACTTACATACACACTGAACACATACTGACAGACGTACTGCCCCATGTGCTGGGCAAACATGGCCGTGAGACACATCCACCTATGTGTGCTTCAGTGTCATGGGATGCCAACACTTTAGTTCCATGGATTCTTTTGTACCGCCTACCCAGCTAGTGTGCCCAGCGCCGACAGTTATGAATTTGTCCTCCCCTTTCTGTGTGCTTTCCGTTGAGTTTCACTCCCCTAGCTGACCAGCTCCCTTTTAACGGTAAGCACATTGGTCTCTCCACTCTTGCCAAACTTCACTTAGAAGAATGGTCTCGGCTCGGTACCTGTGGCGCAAGCGGCTAAGGCGCCAGCCACATACACCTAAGGTGGCGGGTTCAAATCCCCAGCCCGGGCCCACCAAACA